AAAAAAAAAAAAAAAAAGAATCTGCTCATTTTCCTTATGTTCTTAGATGTACCCCCAGATTTAAGCACAGCGAGACAGGAATCACAGGGGCTCTTGTAGCTCCTTGGGGGTGGAGAAGGCATGTAATCAGCATGGCCAAAACTGGTTTCTTGGCAGGAATCCGCAGCTAGGTTTTTTCCAGAGGATGTTGGCTGGGAAGAAAGGGCATCCAGCTAGAGAAAGGCTTAGGCCATGCAGAGGAGTCAGGTGTGGGGACCACGGGAGGAGGTTGGACCAGCCTGAGCCACGCTTTGGATGACAGGCTACACTGCGGGACTTTTACTCATGATATTTTGGCTCTTTATGAACCCTGGAGAAGCTCACCGGCCACGTACGAGGTGCTCGCTGGCCTTGGAGCAGAGAGTGGACATGGAGGGGAGCACATACCATCTCCTGGTGGTGTTGCTTTGGTCTGGTACTCAGTGGGTCTTGGTGGGGGTGGAGGGGAAGGAGAGGAAAGGAGAAACCTTGGGGTGGGGGGCGTTCTTCCCTTTAAAGAGAATTTTGACACAGTAACGAGAGCAAACCTGCCCATGGTGGATAGAGAGCTCACTGGGATGGCAGGGCGGCTCGGAGGTCAGCAGGGTCGAGTGTCCCCGTCCCCGTCCTTAGCGCAGGAGAGAAGGCAGCACCCTCCAATTTCCGAGCGTTAACGATTTATTCAAGTAAAAGCTGCTAAAGTCATTCTGGAAGGTTCTTGTGAATTTCTCAGAAAGAAAAAAGAAATATACGTAATTAAAGGTCTTAGTAGTGCATCTTGTAACAGCCTATTTGAGGTCGGATCTGTGAACCGTGTATTTCTTACATTCTAGCCATCCGTGCAGCCCCCTGGGAGGCCTTGTACCGAAGTGTGTATCAGACTCTGTCTGTCTTGTACCGTTGGGAGACTAATTCTGTCATCTCGGTGATAACATGGGTTTGCAGTTGTGCATCGGGTTAATGCAATGTGATCTTTCGGACTCAGAAACTTTGATCAGGAGTTCCAGCTAGATTTCTCCCTGGGGCAACGTGACCACCCTGGAGAGAATGCCTGTGACGTGTCTCAGGAGTGCTGGACAGCAAGGCGCGGGAAGCTGAGTCGGTCGGAGCCCCCTGGGTGCCATGGTGTCCGCGAGGAAAGCGCACCGGAGCTTTCTCTGTTCACCCTACATGCTTCCCTTTCTCTGAAGGGGATAGTTGAGGCACGTGTGAGCAGCTGACAGCCCTCTGCCTATTCGTGGGTTCGAAGCTCCCGGGTTGGCATTTGCTCACATTGGGATGCCATCTGTCCTGCTTTCCGAGATGCTCATCTTCAAGTCTGTGGTGTTTCCCTCCCCAGGCAAACAGAGGAGTATTTTCTCCCCCGGATGATACAGGACGTGACAAAGCAGGTGAGTGTCTGGGAGTAGATCTCATTTTCCAGCCACATGTCACTGTTCTAGGCTAACAGTGCACCACGTGGGGCAGGACTCTTCGGGTCAAGGCCCCAGAACCCGCCCTGACTGGTGAAGGAATAAAACCAAACAAGGGGAGAGATTCCTGTGCAAGTAGGGAGGCTGGAACCCTGGGGCATGCTGGGCGCCCCCTTTCTCTTACGTCAGTGATGCTCTGCCTGTTCGTGCCTCCCCCTCTCCGGCTCACCTGCTGGGGTACTCCGGGGAGCTGGGGGAGGGGTCCCCACCCCACCTTAGCAGGCTCGCTCTTTTTTTTTTTTTTTAAAGATTTTATTTATTTGACAGAGAGACACAGCGAGAGAGGGAACACAAGCAGGGGGAGTGGGAGAGGGAGAAGCAGG